TGTCGAAACTCTGATGATTGGCGAAAACCCCAAATGCGAAACTCTGCCGAAACTCTAATAAACAATTAATGTGTAACTTGTCGAAACTCTGTCGATTGATTTCTGGAGGAGTTTCTCCCGCAACCTTATGCTAGAGAGAATCAAAAAATATTTTCCTTCCCAATTATAAATCTGATAATTATCACAGGTGTCAGTTTTATTAAATTTTCCTATTACAAACATGCAAGACAGTGAAATTCTATCCACCTCCCATCACCATGAAAAAATTTTTTTTCCCATGGGTAAGATTATCGATCACATTGGAAGGCTTTGAACAAGTGACAGATACAAAAACTTCTCCTCAGACTAGAATTGGTTGTTTCCATATGATGCTTATTACTGGCAATGGGGTTGGTGTTATGTAATATTTGCTTTGTGTTATGGTGTAAAGTTGGTGTCTGCAGTTCAGGAGGTCATTACTTGATTAGATCCAAGTGTTTAGTTTTGCCAATGCTAGGTTGCTGCTTTGTTGATGGTACACCTACTCACAAACAAGGGATTGGACCTAGAGTAAGGAATTATTTGGGCAAAAAAACCAAGTCTCCTATCCTATTTAAAAAATAATAAATACAGTTAATCAAATAAGAGATTATCAAAAAAGCAGATAGTTAATTTAAATGGAACATAACAGGCTAAGTCTGAATTATTTTATGGCTTTCCAAACATAAATGCAGTTTAAAAAGTTTGGAGCTTCCAACTTTATGAGTTGAAAATTCCTAACATTACAGCTCTTAAGAATTCAGCAACCTACCAAGTCACAAGTTCTTAGTCATCAAACCATGTTTAGGATTGTTGCAAGCAACTTGTTAGCCTTTCCTAGTCAGGTGCTGTAAGAGAAGATTAAGATGTCATTGACAATGATGGAGTTCTGATAAATTCCAGGCCAAGCTTATCCCTCCCGAAATTTTGTCACAACATTGTATCTTAGGGATCTCAAGATCAGATTAACCTTTTGTAGACAAGGAAGTTGAGAATGGTAGTAGTATTTAATGTACTCCAACACTAGTAATCAAATGTTACATATCAATGTTTTCATCATTAGTGTTTCCAAAGTTGTTGTTAGAAGTAGTTTTCTATCTTCAATAGTCACTCTCTTATAATTGTTCAACATTATTATACTTAGTATTAATAACGATTGAAAAGCAAGTGCTCCGATTATTTATTATTTTGATAAAAAAAAACCTTGTGATAAATACCCAGGGACGTGACAAATCCTGTTTTGCATTTTAACTTCAATAAGATATTTATGAATGGAAAAAACAAAGCATTTCTGGTTATTAATTAATAACACATCTTATTAATGAATAATATCTTTTTTAGTATATACCAACTGTACAAATAACAACACTGAATCATCTTGATGGGTGGTGGGAGATGAAAAAAATATTGTTTTGAGGGAATCTGAGAACGATCTATGTCTCAAATAATCATTGGTAAATAATCGGTGATACAGAATATACTATATATTACATTTCTTCTTTATAACTACATAATATACACTCCCTGGACAAAAGTTTCGATCACCACAAAACAATTAATTACGCAAAAACGTACATAATAAAACACAAATAAATTTTATCAAATTGTGACTAAAGTTCTCAAGAATATGGTTATAATTATCATCCACAATATCAAGGATTTGAGAAATGATTATTATTGGACAGAATATTATGTTGACAGATTGATATGTGATGATACTTGTAATTTATAATTCAAATATTGAAAAGCCAATTAATAATATAAGATCATTGAGATTAAGCAGTCATTTTTATAAATGGGTGTTAAGAAAATTCAATCCAGATTCATTAATTACAAGATTATGCTTCAATGATATAATTATATCAAAGTTGTGGATTGATAGAGAGCTGTTACTCCATCCTGAATGATCAATACCAGGAAGAATGACTAGTTGTATTAAATAATTTTGAATTACAGTGTGTTTCAAAAAAACCGGAAAAATTAAATCAATCATTGTGGAACAACCACTGCATTGATTTGTATGAAAAATGGCCCATTCGATAGATTAAAAGCAGAATTTTTTATTAACTATACTTTAATACAAAATGCTTTCACTATTAGTTTTAATTAATAAACCGACATCTTTTGATCAAATTAAACTAATTAGAAACAAATCAGGAATTAGATCTCGTTTTTTTAATAATGAATTGTCCCACATCTTGAAAATTTTATTTTTATTCCATTATTTGATAAATGGTTACTAAATATTTTGAAAAAATAAAGAAAAAAACCAGTAGATAAATTGTATTAAATCACGTGATTTCTACTGTGAACCAACAATCAACTCTTCTATGAGCCAATCACCTATTTCGTTCAATTTATTAATATTGAAATAGATATTTGTGAATGAAATGCACATAATATGATATGTTTGTCAGGTAGATGTATCCCTTTTATTCTAATAATATAATTGGAAAAAAACAGTAAATTCAACCCTATTCGCATTTTAAAAGCTAATTACTCAAAAACTAAACATCAAATTCAGTTAGAAAATGATTTAAAATAAATTTAAAAAGCAAAGCTTTGTTTAAATTTTATTTGAAACAAGTTGGGTTGTTTTTTAGTGAAAGTTACAAAAATTTTCCGTTTTTTTTGAAACACACTGTATATTAATACGGTAATAAATATAACTATTTTTATTTAAGAGTTGGGAATTTTAATGATCGACGTTCTAAATTATATGTATGATTGGCTAAATAAACGCGACATTTTTTTCTCCAAAAACTTATCATAAAGGTCTTCCAGGAACATGTTGATGATAATTAAATATTTACTTGGATGATATTTCATGGATCTTTAGTAGATTAGGAGTTATTCCCTATACAGGTGAATATTAATTATAATTACGTGTTTTTTTTTAGTATTTAAAATTTTCGCCCTGATACAACACGAGAGAATTAATAAAAAAGACACTCACAAAGATTGTTCGATCGTGATAAAATGCAGACAATAGAGTACGTACATCCCAGCCCGCAAGTTTTATTTATTAATTTATATATTTTGCAAGGCTAGCTAAAGTTGACCCTTTCTATTTCACGCCATCTAGAACAGCAAGTAAATCCGTCATTAACTAACTTGGATATATATATTTATTTATTTATTTAAATTAAAGATATTAGCATGCAGATAGATAATGATACGGACATCGAAAAAAATATCATTGAATGGTCAAATTCTTCTAAAAAGTTACATTAGAGACAATTAACGATTGTACACACAGCAAACATTACAGCAAGAAGTAACTAATGATGAATCGAATGTAGTTTAACGTATTTCAAGTAAAAAATAAAGCTTTCAGTGTTGGGGATTTTGACAATTTCCAATGGGTATAGGGTGAAGAAAATAATTATAAAAATAATTTTGTTATAATGATTGGAGTATTTAATTAAACATTGATAATACTACTAACTATTTACAAATTCAGTCTAATTGATTGATAACGATAAAAATTAATATCAAAATAAAAAATTTACCTGCTTATAAAATGTTCATAAAATTTATCAATAGAATTAATATATAAAAGAAAGATTTGATATATTGTAAAAACAAAGCGTCTCTCTGCCAGCCTTTTTTTAATCAAATAAAATAAGTCGCAAAACACCAATTAATTAATTCATCTAGTCAACTTCCTATTATTTTACATCTCAATATCACCCATGACATATTCCTCGTAAGACATGGCACTAATCAGTTAATTGATAATTGTATAAATAAAGAATTAAATTTTATTTTAAAAATCTAATTCAATCCAACTTCAATTCATAAAAAACATTTTCCCCTCCTCTCCTATATATTATATACTTCTTACTTTATATCACTTTCTTCTGTTTCAGAAATTGTATCATCTAAAGGTTCATCTTCTTGTAATGGTGCAGTAGTACTATATTGAGTTAATGAATTGACGAATGTGAGTGTTAATATACATCACATAAACTAAATTATGATGTTTTGATATGCACAAAAACCAATTACCTTAAACATCTTACAGTAAAGAACAATATTCTTTTTAACTTCTTGTTATAAAAGAAGAAATTAAATGCCCATCTAAATTATGTTTTTATAATAATAAAAACAATAAAGAAGAATGTGGGAAGGAAATAGTAGAGAAAGAAAGAGAATGGTCATTTTGATGAATGAGCTTGTATAAAAGAACAGAGGCCCATATACAACATTATATGACACATCTATTCTTAAAAGAATAGTAATAACAATAACAAAATAGATTCTAAAAAATAAGATGATTTTTTGATTTTTTCTCCAGTTATAAAAAAATTTTTTTTTTTACAATATACTCTTATCACCCGATTGTAAGTAATTATAATATATGTATAGTTTTCTGATACATATACAATGTAATATATATATATATATGTGAGATACGTACATAACACCATCGTCACTATTTGGATCAGCATCAGAGTCAGGATTGAAAGAATAGATGTTACACTCGTCCAAAAAAATAATATCATCAACAGTTTGCCATAGCATAAGATCATTGATAATGTGAGCACGTCCTAGATTAAATAGAGTGTTATTGATATAATTGCACACCATTGGAACCGACGGTTGTTTGGTAAATTGATCGGGTTTAACGTCACTACATCATAATTAGGTTATAGAAGAATTATAATATAATTAATTAGTTGATTAAGTAATTGTCTCTCGTGCTCTTTTCTTTTCCAAACTCCACCATCCATCTTTATTCCAAAAAAAAATCAAAACTAATACAAACGAGAAATCGTAATCAGGATAAGAAGCATTCAAAGTTGCAATAAGATTAAACAAAGTTCTTCGTGAAGAAGGTTGATCCATTGAACCAAAAGGTGATATTATTGTATCGAAAGAATGAGCATCGGGTGAAACACTTTGAGCATTTTGTTGTGATAAATTATTGTTCCATTGACTTTCAAGATTCTTGTAAAGTTTTTTATCAACTCCAGCCAATTTGCCTTCAATAATACCAATTATCAATTAAATTATTTAAAATTCAAATAATTTCATTTCTTTCATTTCCTCATTTCTTCATTTCTTGCCACCTCATATTTATACCTACATGAATAAGTTTCTATCCTACCAACAACTCTACATTCCGGGTTTTCAAATACCAAGGCAGCATTTATTGGTTCAAGTGAAGCAATATCAAGGAATTTCATCTTTTGTTTACCAGCTTATTGCAATATTAATAACGCTTATTATTATTATTATTACTATTATATATGGTTTGTTGCTTTTGTTTATTAAAACACGTGAAATTCGTATTTTATTTTTATTTTCAAGCATAAAAAGATAATTAAAGAGTAGAAAGAAACTTGAATAGTGGATTTAAGTAATTATAAGTCGAATTTTTTTAGAGTGAGAGAATTAAAGTTTAATAATTTTTAATGTTTTCGTGAGAAAAAATTTAAATTCGAATAAAATTGGGAAGGATTATCCTTTGTTATTATTATTTAAAGGATGGATAATCCTTCCAATTAAATGTGACATTAAATATCAAAGGATCAAACATTTAAACTTTTGTGCATGCTTATCCCACTTTTTACGTGTGCGTGCGCACAGTTTTCGATTCAGATTGCTTTAGAATAGGATAGCATTATTCCTCGTTTATACTAGGCCAATATAATTGGTTCAAATGTATTAGTATCTTTGCACAAAATCGTCATATACACCGACATTTGGTGATCTGGATAAGAAAGAATATTAATATAAAAAACAAGTTAAAATATTATAAACCTAAAGGAAATCGTAAATTATTAAAGGTTCTAAAAACGGGCAATAATATATCACTTATCATTTTGTCTAGTAACACTTAAAATAATAATTTTAGCCAAAACAATCGATTTAGACCACAATAAAATTTATATTTATTTAATAATACTCCACGCTAAAGACTATTTTTTTTGTCCATTCAAAATATATTTTTGTAAATCAACTAAATCAATTGCAGATGATTTCTAAAATTAGACTAGTTCGTATTTCCAAAACAGTAATTATATTAAATTAGTATATATTAACTGCTGGCTGTTATAGAATAACTAATGATGTTTTGATAATGCGATAAACTAGTATTAGTATATTAGTTGACCACTATGTATTCTATTAATTAGAAAACTATTATTGGAAAGCAAAAACTCCAGTATTTCTTATTTTGAAACGTTTTAATGCATCAATTTGTAAACATCATTTTCCAAAGATCTTACAAATAAATGAAGTTCCATGGCCTTTGTTAGGATTGAGCAAAGTCAAAGTGTTAGCGAAAGGATCGTCCCGATAACATGTATGCGTGGCAGCGGTTGCAATTCTAACGCCTAAAATCTATATTAATATTAATATTGATATGGGACGCCGATTTTCTATTTCATAGAATTTGTATAAGAAATATGAATTCCGAGCGACTTTTGTCGCGCCCATGAAATAAGTTTTTGTCTAAATTAGATCCTGAGGCACAGGCTTGTTTTAACTATGTTTTTATAAGCAGTTTTAGACAAATTTGTTATATAGTGAACTAATAAAATATCAACCATCTATCCACCTACTTGCTATATTGATGTTAGAACGTATATCGATCGCATCACGTAGATTAACTAATTATTTTATACAAATTGACTTTAATACTAATTAGTTGATATAATACTTAAAAATAAAACCAATACTATTTCCGATTCTCAGAATCATGAGGTAAGGACTTCGAGACAGACAAGAAAATAAACAAGAAAAATAGTTAAACGTCATTTTAATAATATTATTTAATAATAATATTATAAAAATAAAGAAAATCAAAATTTACAAATTATAACGTTGGTTAATATTAATAATAATTTTGTTTTGAAAAATAGATTGAAAATAAAATGGGAATAGATAATAATCAAATCCCATTCAACAACGATCAAATATATATCCTCATTCTTTTATATTTATCATTTTAATAATTCATCCAATAATTGATTATTCAATGGAATCATATTTCGTTGCTGTAGCTGTTAATTTGAATCATCAATCCAACAAATTCATGTTATTATATAATAATAGAAGTAATAAATCAAAACGTATATAATAATAATTGTATCACATTAATAATACCTGACTGCTGCTGGCAAGTATAGTAATAGAAGAGGTGAGATTTTTATTCATTACTCCATTCACCATTTTTTTTAATCCTTCTTCTAGGTCTTTCCTTAAGAAACCTTCCATATCAATTATCTTAAAATCCGCTGATCTCTTTTTTTTTGCAGTAGCTGTGTTAGTAGTTGTTTCCTTCTCACTATTATTATTTACAGCTGGTGATTTGTCTTCATCGTCACTAAAATCAAGTAATTTTTGTTCTGATTGTTTAGGTGATGATGATAATACTGATGAGGAAGAAGAATAAGATGAATAAGATGAATAAGAGTAAGATGAAAATGAAGAAGAAGAAGAAGAAGAAGGATGATGATGATGATGGGGATGAGAATGAGGTGTTATAACAGATTTTATTTCTTTTTCTTCCTTAAATTCGTCACCAATCAAAACAAAAGTTTGAATTTTTTTACCATTTGTATTACCAGTAGTATCAATTGCTGTATCAGTATTATTAGCGGTGCTATTATTGATGTTATTGAGTTTAACCAAAATTTCCCTAGGTTCATCACCACCACCACCATCACCTTGAACTTTTTGAAAACTATTATTGGAAATAACATTATTAATATCGATAATAATTCTTGGATTATAATTATGACTATTGTATTTTTTTTCATCATGATGTTGTTGATCAATGGTTGATAAAGTATTTAATTTTTTGATTAGTGATTGATTGAAATCATTATCATTACTAATATTAGGATTTTCTTCTTTTGGTGGAGTTACAGCTGAAATGGTAGTAATTGGTGTAGGAATTGAAACCGTATCTTCTTCATTCAAGTTGTCGTTATCATTTTCTTTACTAATCTTGTTTTCACTTGTACTATTCCAGTAATCAACATTATCTTGATAATCGTTATTATTTTGATTATCTTGTAATTCACTTCCCCAATAATCATCTTCATTATTCTTTTCATTAATATTATTATTACTCATGCTATTTATTAATTGATTTTCTGCGTCTCCCCAGTAGTCATCATTACTATTATTAGCAGTTTCAACGATATTATTATAATCTTCTACATCCTTTTGATTGTTACTCTGATTAGGGTTTTCAACAATGCTATTCCAACATTCGTTCTTTTTCCTATTAATATTTTCACTCAACCCTTCATTTTTTTCATTAGTATATTCAGTTACATTATTCCAACCTCGATTCTTCTCTTCATTGTTCTTCATATTCCAACTTCCATCATCCTCTTCGTTATTCTTCACATCACAATCTTCATTCCTAATATCCTCCTCAATATTATTTACATTCCAGACTCCGTTGTTCTCTTCATTATTCTTCATGTCCCAACTATCATTATTCTGGTTAGTAGCAGTAGCTTCAGTCTTAACATTCCAATAATCATCATTATCGTTTTTATTTTGGTCAGTTTGAACTACACTACTACACCAATAATCATCATCTTTTTCGATTGTTGTTGTTGTTGTAGTTGGTTCCTTACTACTAGCAGAAGCTGCTGTTGAAGTAAAAGATGACACTGTATTACTTCTTGAAGATCTATTAAGATATGGATTGTTGTTGTTGTTAGCTAATGATGAAGAGGATGGGTCGGTGGTAGAGGGTGGTGGTGGAAATGTATTAGATCTAGTAGGCGCAACTCTGATGTTACTATTATCATTAACAAGGTTATATTTCGCGTATTTATTATTGACAAATAGCTTTTTCTCCTCCAAGGCCATAGCCTAAATGAATAAATATAATTAATTAATTAGTTGAATAATCGATAAATAAATGAATATAACACATAATTTAACATGTACAGTTCACTCTCTCTGTATAACGACCATTTGGCCTAAGTAACAATATCCATTATAGAGATAATCCGTTATA